AAAGAAAAACATGTGAAGACAGTTAGGTTCACGTTGAAGAAAAAGGTTCAACCATATCGAGTGCACCGCAGTCGATTTTATTTCATATAAAACTCTAAAACATATAATAAATGAGCATAAATGAAGAGATAACAACATGCAATCAATTTAAATTATTTTGTTGTTCATCGGAATTTCCCCATCTTATATTATTTCAATGAATTTGTAGAGTATTATGATCCAAATATCATATCTTTTATTTGTAAAAATCAATTAATATAGTTATAATATCTAAATTTATCGCCATGATCCGGAGATCAATAAATGGATCAGACCTATTCACCTACTTTACATGAAAAAATATATATATTCACAATGTTCCCGTATGACAGTATGACGCAGGCCCCCTCTTTTCTTCCTCGTTCACCAAAATTTATTTCGACTCGGTTTTTGTCTTGCAAGAGACGGTTATTATTTACCCAAACGGTACCACCTGAATATCCCACTTTTTTCTGGGGTTTTTTTTCTACAATGTCGTGTCGCTCTTTTTTTCGTTTATTTGCGTATTGATGTTCTTGTGGTTAATTTAATTTCAAGAGAGAACATCGGTTTAAAAAAAAAACGATCACTACGAACAAAGTGCGAATCGGACACATGATTGCTTTGCTTAACAGATAACCTGCGGTAACGTATTCCTTTATTCTGCTTCCCATATTCATCGTCGTTGATAAGCGAAGTGTTGCATTGTATTCCTATTCAAAGCAATAATATCAGATTGAAAGAAAAACCTTGCTGTGAAATAAATTTTGGCAGTGTTAAAATCAATTTGAAAGTTATTTTTTTTTTCAAGTAACCGTCTTGATGAGTGACAAAATTATTGTATTAGAAGGTGACTTTGATAAAATATTTTTGTGCACTTGTCATTTGTTCTTTCGTTGTATTTTTTTTTTTTTTTTTGACATGAAGAAACACATTGTGAATTGATTGATTTTTTTTTTCAGTTCTTGAACTATTATTTACCTGTAAGAATCAATTATACTAACTTCAGCTGGCCAATATTTTTTTAAGAAAGAGGAGGGTTATTCTTAAAAGTATTGGACAGTTAAAGGAAACTTAATGGTTTCTAACAGTTAAATGATAGTCCAATCATTGAAATAAAGGGTTTACTACTGGTTTGCCCACATTTAATTATACCAATTATCTATTATTAAAGAAAGCAAAAAACAAAATGTTTAATGAGCATACAATTGTATAGTCTGTTCCAACTTTATAATTATATAGTTTATCTGTGTTTTCTATATATTCAGGTATTTTTCATTTTGTAGTTCCATTTTTATTTGTATAGATAAATAATAAAAAAATCAAATGTTTTGTTTCTCAATAATTTAATACAAATCAATTCAATTAATTCACTTAACATGTGACAAAACAATGGCATTCATTTATAACTGTGTCTTAATAATTCAGCAGTTTCTGAATGATTATAATGTAAATATATATGATACAGTTTGCTTTAATTGCAGACATAATTTATATATTTTATGAATCAAATCTATACATGCATTTCATAAGGAAATTGATAAAGCACTATGGTAAAAATAAGTTATATGGGGCACTATATGTATAATGATGAAAAATGCAACATTTTATATGTACTTCAAAAGTCACAAAACATAAGATTAAAGAACTTGGTAACTTGATGCTCTAGTAGATGGTTGGGTTGGCAAGTTGGTCAGTCTCTTTTTAATTTTTGTGTGCCATCCTACAGGTGGCTGGTGGTGCAGGGTCCTTCTGTGAAGTAGTGATTCCATCCAAAGCGGTATCCTTCAACCCAAAATTCTTGTTACGCAATCGGTAACTCAGAACAAGGTGGGGCTGAACGAGAGGTAATACTGCTGCTCGGCGTATAAGTAGAGTGATGTCTTCATTTTTTTTTAAAAGTATGACTGTAGCCCACATTTCTGTGACTTTCGCTAATCAGAATGTACCAACACTTTAAAAAAAATTGTCGATAATTTGTCAAAATAATAAACATTTTTTGTATTTTATTTTTTTAATATTTGTCAAATTCAATACATTTTCCTGGTAAATTAAAAAAATATTCTTTCATTTGTCAAATTAAGAAACGTTTTTGCATATTTTCTTTTAATATTTGTTAAATTCAATATATTTTCCTGGTAAAATTATAAAACATTTTTGCACATTTTCCTTGATTTAAAAGTAGAATCTTTTATAAAACTTTACAGGTAAACTAAGGTAAAAAAATAAGACTATAATTCAGAAATAAACTATAATTGTTAAAACAACAAAACACTTTATGTTTTTATAAACCTGCAATTAAATGTGGGCAAACCAGGATGACATTAAATAAAGAACGAGTACAACAATAGAATGACGTTTTAAGGAAAGTTAGTTGACGACAATGGAGTGGAAACAGTATTTACAGTACCTGGTAAAAAGCGTTTTATGGGTATAGACATAAACATATTTATTTTTTAAGTCCCATTTAGAACAATGGAAGACTAGTTGTAAGTGCTATTTTACGGAATTCAATGTACTTTGTGTGGATTACTTTATGTTGGTGAAACTTGACAAACTTTGCAAAAAAGGATGAATCAACACCGGTCTGATAATAAAGATCCGCAATTCAGGATCTTGATTTAAAACAAAACCTAAAAAAAACTCTGGCATGTAACTGGTCCCACTCGTCTTATATGTACAGCCCATCTGGCCATGTTAACTGGGGATCTAAACATAGTTCAACATGAACATCTCCGAAAGGTGATATCTCATGGGCCAAAGTTTAGAGAAGCCCAACACATCAATTGGAACCATAACTTCGAAAAAATTATGGATTCCATTGAGGACTACGCCAGAGCATGGGCTAAACGATAAGAAGTTGAGCTGGACACTTTATCAGAAGGGGTCAAAACAATCCGGTCTCTGATAAAATGTCGCATTCATAAGTTGAAATACTGTGCGAATGATCGACCAAAGTCCGTTTTCAGAGACAAAGAGGCTGTAAAATGTCTATCATCTCTTTACGATAAGTATGTTGTTGTTCCTGGGGACAAAGCTTCAAATAATATTGTCTGTGTATGTAAATCGTACTACTACGAGTGTCTGGTAAAAGAATTAGGAATAAATGAGCACTCAGGTATTCCCAAATACAAAAACATATCATTTGACAAGGATGAGATTTTGGCGAATCGTAAGTCCGTCATGGCTTCAATGAACATTACATTGAACAGCAAATCGGAGGACTTACCTTTTGTGTATAGGATACCTAAGCTTCATAAAATTTCGTACAAACAACGGTACATTTCCGGCTCATCTGCATGTTCGCCTAAATAATTGTCCATTAGATTGAGAAAAATTATGTCCGCAGTGAAAGAGCGTCTTCAGAAATACTCGAAACTGTTTACTCGCGTAGTGTTATTAACCATATGTGGATTTTAAAAAACTCTAAAGAACTTCTGGATAATTTTAAATCTCGATCTTTTTCTGAATTTATTTTTATCAAAACTTTTGATTTTTCAACCCTGTATACCACCATTCCCCCATGTGAAATTGAAAAATCGTCTAAAATAAATAATCCACAATGCTTTTCAACATAAAAATGGTAGCATACGCTATAAATTTATAACTTTGGGATACATACGGCGTATTTTGTTAATAGTGAACAAAAAGGTTAACCATGCTACACAGAGGAACAAGTGATCAGTATGCTGGAGTTTCTCATTGACAACATATCTGTTGAATTTAGGGGTAGACTTTTTCAACAAATTGTCGGCATTCCTATAGGAACGAACTGTGCGCCTCTACTTGCCGACCTCTTCTTATTTTCATATGAGTCGGAGTTCCTTCAGACACTTGACAAAAACAAGAAGATAAAAGAAGCCAGATCATTTAATTTCACATTCAAATATATTGATGATGTTCCTTCCATTAACAATCCAAACTTTTCTGATTGGGTTCCATTAATATATCCCCCAGAACTAGAAATTAAAGAAACAAAAGACACGACTTCTTCCGCCTCATTTTTAGACTTCGAATTTGACAAACGCGGTCTGAGCAGAAAGTTGATGAACTAGGGGTATGTCAAATAAAGTCTCGTCCTTTTTCTAAAAAAGTTCATCGGAATGTACCAAGACCTTGTTGATAAATATTCCGTATCAACATCACAAACAATACACGATGGTCTTGAAGTATAGATTCTGGGTACTGAGGTTGTTTATCATCTTAATAACGTGCTCATGTGCTTTGTCTATATGCCTTTTTGTGTTTCTTTGTTACATATTTGTTTGTTTGAATAGTGATTAAGATTATAACACAATGTTGACTGCTGTACCCCTATGTTTGACAATTTTGCCTATTATTTCTGTTTGTTTTGTTCACACATAGTTGTCAATATAATGGAATTTTATGTGACTGTCTTACAAGTGAGAGGTTTGGCTAGTTATAAAACAAGGTTTAATCCACCATTTTCTACATAAGAAAATGTCTGTACCAAGTCAGGAATATGACAGTTGTTATACATCCATTTGATTAGGGTCTTTCCGTTTTGAACTTTCCTCGGAGTTCGGTATTTTTCTTATTTAACTTTTTACATTGAATCCTTCCATTGCTATTTATACATTTTGCACAAACTAAGTCATCCGTAAAACATGGGTTAACTTTCTGAGTATTCATGTTCATTATATGTCTATATCCAAGTAATTCTCCGGTGAGATTGTATACTCAGGCAAAAAGTGCAACGACTTTCAAAACATCGTTACACATGGGTATCGTTTTCAAAACAATAAGTAAAATCAGAACTTTTAAACAATACTCAAGGAGCATCGTAAATGAGTTAGACATATTTCGCTATAGGAAGCATTTTCTGAGAAAATGAAGAATGACAAAATGTTAAAGAATTTTTTGGAAATCATGATGAAATGTTAGGTCTAATATCAAAAATCAATGAAAAAGTGGCTGCTCCGATTGCAATTAGTCTCAGAACGAATTTATAGATTTCAAATTTAACTATATTTGCTGCAGCCGGCAGCTCTTATTTTATTCCAATACTGATCAGTGAAACTTTTGAGGCAGCCTGTTGGACCTCCATTATGCATGCGCACATAATTTTCACAAGTGGTTCCACAACTCGAACCTCCATAACGTTCCATGTAATCCTGAACACATCCTTTGGCACAATCATAATCTATGGAACGCAACAGCTGTGGTATTCTGATAGTACGTTATGTTGTTTTATTATTACTTGATGATATTTTGTCTTTACATAATATGGTTTTGACATTACGTAATGATGTTTTGATACAACTCAATATGGAATAATCATTACTTTACGATATTTCGATATTACATGATATGGTTTCGTATTGACTTGGTATATTTTTGTCATTACTTAATATGGTTTTGTCATTACTCGATGTGGTTTCACCATTATTTGTTGTGGTTGTGTCATTATGCAATGTGGTTTTAACGTTACTTGATGTGTATTTGGCTTAGCGTTATGTAGTTGTTTCATAACATGATGTGGTTTTGTTATTTCGTAATGATGATTGGCCAATTCTTTATATGGCTTTAACATTACATAATGATGTTTCAAGATTTGACAATTTTACACTACATGACGTGTTCGTTCAAGTATTTGATGTGATCCTGTCATTTTTTGATGTGGTTATCTCATTACTTGATGAGGTAAAACAACGTGATCTTTTGTCGAAAAAATAGTTCATTTTTTAGCGTGTATGCTCATTTGAACAGATACGAATATCAATCTTTTATTTATATAAATAGCATTCTCAGTTATAACTCGCACTAAATTGAAAAAAAACTAATGTTAAAACCACATTGCATAATGACACAACCATACTAAATAATGGTGAAACCACATCGAGTAATGACAAAACCATATTAAGTAATGACAAAACGATATCAAGTCAATACGTAACCATATCATGTAATATCGAAATATCATTTAGTAATGACTATTTCATATTGAGTTATATCAAAACATCATTACGTAATGTCAAAACCATATTATGTAAAGACAAAATATCATCAAGTAATAATAAAACAACATAACGTAATATCAGAGTACCACATAAGACAGCTGTTGCGTTCTATAATAATCCTTTGCACACTCTTCATAACCTGCAAAAATAAAAGAAAGACAACTTCTATTGAATTTTAACTAATTAATAATAATTGATAATTGATAATTATCAAGGTGCACAGTTGTAGTAGTTACGTCTGATACGAATTGCAGTGTGTATGACACGTTTTTGTATAATCTTCTACAGGCGCGTACGAGCGTACAAGATATAATTTTTTTCAGTGGAAGATTCCATTAAACGTTTGGGAACATCAAAATCAAAAGGACATTTGTATAATAGGTATAAAGTCAAAGGGTAATTCTGTCAGCCAGTTGAAATGGTTACCTCATGCAGTTTTAGTACAACTAGTTAGTACATAGTTGATTGATTAATAAGACTTGAATAAATTATATAAAATGAGTAAAATCAGACCTCTTAAATAATACTTCAGGAGCATCGTGAATGAGTAAGACAAATTTCGCTATAGGAAGCATTACAACTTTTAAATTCTATCAGTATCGACGTATTGGCTATCCGATGCGTTGATATGTATATATATCATTTCTTGATTATGATAGTACTTAACAAAATCCTGTTGCGGACTGCGACAAATAAACGATAGTAGTTGTTGAGAAATTATCGTAAACTATAGAGTTAAAGTAAACAATTGCACAAAAGAATGACTATTTTTTCGCCTTTAAGTGTTAACCTAAATTTAACTACCTATTAATTCAGTATAACTTTAGTTGGCTTTTGTCGATTTAAGAGTTTCGATTGGAAGACCAGTTAACTTGTCATATCCTAGTTAGTGATTAGTTTCTTAGATTTGAATTATACTTACTGTCGCCTGGTCTATGGCAGTCAATCCAGTACACTTCTTTTATTTGAAATAGACCACAGGAATCCGATCTGCCATCATCCGCACATCCAATTGTCTTGTCACAATTTGATTCTACCTATAAAGTTCATAGCAAATCTGTTATAAACCTAATCGAGATTTTAGAAAGATACGGCTGAGATAAACAAAAATTTTCGTTCAATAGTAGCAACTGATATTAGCAAAAGAGAAAGTAACATGCGAAAATACTTGTATCATGGCGAAAAATAGGACTGAAAATAAAATGCAGCGACACATTCTTTTAAGACTGACTCGCTTAATACGGTTATGATCACGAAATTGATTGATTGACATGATTGATTGAGCAATTGATTGACTTTCTCTTTACTTCTTGGTGTAAGTACTACATACATTTTCAAATAAATAAACATGAGAGCTTTATGCACCATTTGTTTAAGTTTTTTGTTTGGTGAAGTCGGGAATCGATGCAACGATATCTAACACTATGCAAGCTCTGGGCGAGGACACTACAACGAGACAATGATTATTAGATGTAACGTTTTTATCATAAAAACATCAAATTCCATTAAGTTTACATATTTCGATTCGACCAAGATTCTAAACCCAATTCCGTAATAAAGCTGGTGTACTAACCATAACATGAAAACCTCAAATACAAATACAAAGAGTAGAGAATAAAAAGATAGCACGGCATATGTGTTATCCTAGTTAAAATATCAGGCAACCTTAATATAATGAACACTCCTGGAATAAGAAGGAAAACTTTTAATACATAACTTTGTGAAATAAAAAAAACATCAGTTTGGTTTGTTTCCTGTTGTTAATTGTGATATTATCTTAAGTCTATTTTATCTATATTCTTTCTCCTTTCATCTGTTTTCGTCTGTTACAATAAACCTTTCAGTCCAATCAATATTTTTAAATGCAAATCCCATTACTTTTTAAGCGGGGTTGTAAGAAATGAATTATCGATGAATCTCTAGTATATTATATACTTACGTTACAAATTCAGCCCAAGCAAGTGTCCGAAATTCCTGAAAGTTAAACTAATATGTTAGGGTGAAATGTAAAGGAAAGATATTTTAGATATTTTGCATGCCAACTATACTTACTCAAAACATACTTTATCAAGTACTAAGCTCGCTATACATATCGGTATGTTTCCATGCTTTTTTTTTCTATTTCTTCTTTTAATGATTAAGATAACTGTATAAAATAAATTTCCCTTTGTTCATTCAACAACCTTGTGTTCAATGCTATACGGAGAATGTGTCTTTTAATCAAAATAAGATTTATAATATGTCTTGATATTCTTACGTAACATTATAGTTTAAATAAACGTTTTCAGCTAAACAAAAATGAATACTAATATAAAGCAACTTTATAGATGTATAATTCAATATGAAAATAAGAAGATGCAAGCAATTATATGCAACTATGCGGCTTTTAACAATGAGAAAAATCCATTCCACATAGTTGGCTATAAAAGGCCCCGACATTGAAAAATATGAAACAATTCAACTGCGAAATCATTGAAGACTAATTTGAGTACCGTTTAAACAGGTGTCTCCAAACATCATTTTTACCTGTGATAGCTAGGTTCAAATAGAAATAAAAGAAACTAGGATAATTAATTATAGTTTTTGATCCACATTTTGAGGACATTAACACTGAAAAAGATTATATTATTTTTGCAAACGTTTTAATACTTTACTATATATTGTTTTATGGCGCATTACTATACTTATTTCTCCTGCCAAAATACTAAAAAGTAGTAAAGAAGTAAGCTAAATTAGATATTTATTTTACCAAGTTGTTTTATTTAATAAACAAAAAATCGTACAATTAAAAATAGTTGAAGAATAAGAAATACTATGATTTGCATTAACGTCTTTAATTACATTATAAAAAATGCACCCGTAGGCATAAATCTTATTGCGCTCAGAACCTACGTGTACCATTAAAACACACTTCAGTTATAAATTACCTGTGTTGGTAGAACAATTTAATCCTGGTATCTATCATGAGTATTTTCAGTGTCTTATAGGTCCAGGTTCAATACTTCTATAGTGTTGCAAATTATTTTTTTGTATCATATCATTTTAAAATTTCGAACCTCTAGTCAAACCTGGAAATTCTTGTTATTTTTTGGGAACAAATAATATCTAAACCATGTATCTGATTCTTGATTTTTTCCTTAGATGTATAAAGCAGAAATTAAAATAAAAATATATAAACTTTTACAAATTTAAGCATTTGAGATTTTGGCAAATTTTTGCACAAGCGTATTTAGTTTAAACATGGACTTAGTTCAACATTACAAAGATTCATCCAACTCTCACACATCATAAAACAAAAAATTGATAGCCCCATTGGAGTTTAGATATAAGAATAAGAAGATGAGGTATGATTGCCATTGAGACAACTCTCCACAAGAGACCAGATGACATAGAAATTTACAACTAGAGGTCACCGTATGGCTTTCAAAGATAAGCAAAACCCATACCGCATAGTCAGCTAAAAAAGACCCCGAAACAACAACTTTAAACAATTCAAATGAAAAAAACTAGCAGCCTGGTTTATGTACATAACAAATATGATATACTGCAAAAAACGACAACCACTCAATTACAGGCTCATGACTTGGGACAGGCACATGCAGAATGTGACGGGGTAAAACTAGTTATTTGGCGCCAAACCCTACCCTTTACCTGGGACAGTGGTGTAATAGTTCAATATAAAAACAAACTATAAAAAACCGTTAAAAAAGGGCTCAACTCATCACATCGATACAAAGCAGAAACACATCTAACAAAAACATAGACCGGACGTGGCAGGATATATATAATACAATCTGTACACATCCAACATTCAAAAGATTAAGTGTAAAGACGTCATTAACAAATAGAGAAAAACCTGAAGACTGATAGAGATTGGTCTAAATTGTATAAGTATAAGTTTTCGCGAGCGAATTCCTTTCTTTGAAATATATTTGATAAATAAAACATTCAACTATCTTACAGGAAAAATTTATCGCATATTTGCCTTGAATACATTACAGGTCTAATACCGTCGAAAGCTCGAAAGGCATACAATATTTGTGTATAGATCACGCAGTAAGTTTTCAAACGTACAGGCGTGTTTAAATGTCCTATAATGATAATGTAAACTCGTAAACTTTTTCAGCTCCGACCAGTTGAAAACCGTCTGTACAATTTTGAAATATTTTGTAACTTACCTGCAAATATCAACCCAGCATTGATAGTCAAAATTATTACCACAATTTGCAGAGATAATTGAATTGGTACCATTCTGAAACAAATAATTTAGGCATCAGGCAATGCAATCGGCTTAGTAGTGCAAATTGATGAAAGACAAAACAAACACACCGTTTAAGCTGTTGACCAATATTATTCTAGTTAATCGTCTTTTTTTGCTGCATGAATTTTCAAAACATAACATGTTTGCATAAAGCGTCATCAATTCCAATCGGCTATTAGGCGCTCATAAATATATTTTGGACTTGAAAAATGAAAATTAGGGAAAAACATAAAAACCTTCGCTATTTAATCTAATTTTTTTTTAGATACCTTGGCTTACCTGAAGCTATCGTTATTCGCCAATTCAAAAAAAAAATGCCAACTGATGAAAAGCCAGTATTAGTTTTTATATACCTGTGGTCCATTAATAGGGCTATGGATTTCTGGTATCATATATAGCTATGAATAAATTCAAAATTAATATCATTTTTTGAGTTATTAACAAAATCCTGTTTGATATATATTTTTCATTCATATTAAACATGTATGTTCAACCTCAGGTATAAAGATATAAGAAGATGTGGTATGAGTGCCAATGAGTCAACTCTCCATCCAAGTCACAATTTGTAAAAGTAAACCATTATAGGTCAAAGTACGGCCTTCAACACGGAGCCTTGTCGGGTATAAGTCGAACGAGATACGTAATGCATCCATACGAGAACAAAAGCTTTTTACTGTGTTTTTTTCTTTTATTTTGCTACTACTGCAGCGGGAATCGGGTACATTGAAAAACGTTACTTGTAAAAACAAATAGCGCTGAACTTTTAAATTCAAACACTTACCTTTGAAACTGTTGATTCCTTGATACCGGCTAAAGGACTTGTGCATGTTTCATAGTGTTGTCATGTGTTAAAGTATATAGCCAAAAAAGGTATGATAAACACTTTAAAATACAAAGATTCAATGATTTGTATAATTCTAAAGTGGTGTTTTCCCAATGTTGACTTTTATTTATGGTTATTTGAGCAATGGTTTGACATTTGACATAATTTGACAAAGAAGTCTATACAGTGTCATCATCTTAGATTCAGGAAAGACCTTGAAAATGCATTTGATGTTTCAAAAGTATCCAGTTCATGCATTTATATATATTTGTTTTAGATTAAAGTGTTAGAGAGAAAGCCTGTTGAAATTAAAAATGTAAAAGAAGATTAAAGTTATGGCATACTGAAGCAATATCGCAACACATCATTTCTATATAATTTTCAATATACTTTATAACATGGTTCATGTTTGATGAGATTTATTCTCTCTAGGGATAAGCACGGAAAAAATCGTTCGTCCCTGAAACACATTTTGAAAAGAATTTTTCATTAATTGAAAAGTATCGTACAAAATTTTCTCCTCACTATGAAAATTTGAATTTTCAAACGTCCATACATGATGATAATTTTGAGAAATCACAACCCACTCACTTTTGTGTAGTATTTTTTTTTTAAAGTCTTAGCTCCTTAAATTATTTTGATTGTTTATGATAAATAAGACACTATCATTTGACTGTTTGCGTGTAAACAAACATCGATGGAGCTTGACCAACAGATTGTTCAGTGATATCACTTAAACAATCAAAAACATCTTCAATAAATATTACAGGTATAATAGTATCTTTTTTTTTAAATCTTGGTTAAGACCAGAAACTAATTTTTGTTATGTGAACCTACTTTACACAAAGGCAGATATGAACTGAATATGTCTAGCAATGTTTTACTCCTACTTGTATAATTGTTTACATGAAAAAAGTATCTGTTTTCGCTTTATAATTTGTAAAGTGTTGAAGGAAGTGGTAATAAAGTATGTTGAACATGTGTGTAAAATTTATATATTTTTTAATTTTCAATAACATAACCAAAGTTTAATAAATTTTAAATTTTCTTTCGCCCTGCTCGTCCGAATTTAAAGTATTTCTACTCTAAATTCAAAAGGCTATAAACAAGACAAACACAGAAATAGGATTTGTTGCTCGCAGTAACATATTATTTTCTCTTGTGCTACAATATTTTATTTTACTTTATAGTACAGATTTCTTTGATTCAAACAACATATCAGTACATGTAATAAACATAGCAGCAAGTGTATTTATATATTAATGTGACTAACTTTGATTCGACGTAACTGCGAGCACCTTCGATACTTATACATTTAAATGCCAAACTTTATATAGTACCATAAAACCCCACCCGTAGAAACCGCCAAAACTTTTATCGTGCCTCATGCACCTAACATCAAACTTTATAAATAGTAATAACTGTTGCAGAACTAGTATCAGAACTTGTTATAATAGTTCCCATCTATATATAAGTACTACAAATAGCAAACAGGAAAACCACAATTTCAAACGAAATGAAATATATATATATTTGAGTGCAGATAAAAACAGCGTAAAAAAATAGTCTGTTTGTACTCCACTATCACCTTATGATATTGTTTAGTGGATTAATAAACGTTAAATGGAAAACGTTCACTAAAAACATTTATCAAATAACTTTATTAAACAGTAATAATAGACAAAAGAAAACACGGGTTCTAGGAAAAACAGTCATAAATTATACCACACCCAAGAATGTTCGTAGCTATAAAAAAACAGACAATTAGCTTATAATGGTTTTATATCATTTATAACCTCATTTTGATTTATTCCAAAGTTTTTAAGGCTTGCAATTGGGGTAAGTTAAAGCTTGACACAATGAATAGACACCAATATATCGTTGTACACTTTATGCTTACCCCTACGTGTTTTTAGTTATTTGTGTCACATAACTGCTATCTCAGTGAAGCATACCTCACTTATTCTTTTATTCAATTCAAATAAATTAAAGATCTGATATCAAAATTATACCGTACTACAATCGAATATTGGTGGCTAGTCATGCATTTACTCGTTCAATGTTGTCAATTTATCACTTTTTTTCCGAATTTTGTTGATTGGAGCTTTTATGTTTTTATTTCATAATTTTCATAGCATTGAGTATTATCACCACTGGCTGTCTTCCTTTTGTAACAACATACAGCAGAAATAAATAATATGATTGAAGCTACAAGTACGGCACATCCAACAGCTATATACATTGGTAGTTTACTATCGTGGTTTGTGCCTGAAAAATACAAATATGAAATCTTGATATTTGTCATAGCTACTGATACTATTTCTCTTTTTGAAATTCCCTGTTAGATTTACCTCTTTTATAATATCATATTAAGAAGGTTGGCACACTGGAAGCATATAATTGTTAAAAGTTCTATTGCTGTGTTTACTTTTTTCTTACGAGACTTGTAGGCGGAACCAAGTCATTTAAACTAAAATAAAGATATATGAAGGAAAAAAATGGTTTTATTCTATATAAATTGGAACATAACTCTTTAGGTATTCCTTTACAATTATGAACAATTATATTCCAACGTAATGGTCTTTTGGTACTTATATTTTGGCGTCGCATAACGTCAGACAAGTTATGAAGTTTTTACACTTGATCCGTTGAATGTGTACTTGTCAGGCTAGGGTTGAGCGCACGAATATCCCCCCCCCCCCTCTCCTCCACACACACACATACACTTTACATGTCATCTCACAAATTAATAACTCCGAGGTAATTTGAAAAAAAATAAATCCATAAAAACTGACATAATCAAACGTAAGAATATCAACCACAGAAACAAATAAAAAACATATGTCATATTCTTGACTTTGTACTGGCATTTCCGAAGAAAACGTGGTTTAAACCTTTTACAATACATTAGTTGCTGTTTGTTGCTGTCTGTTAAATACAATTGTTTACTTTTATATTTTGACAAAAATCTGGCCAATAGTTTTCCAGTTTGAATTCTTTATTAAAGTTATGTTTTTTGATGATCTGAAGTACCCGTAGTTTAAAATGGCTCCTAGCGACGACAAAAGTGATGCTCATTGATATACATAGAAAATAAGTGTTCTTTTCTTTTTATGTCTATATTCAGCAAACAAACAACGCATCAAATCAATTTGACTTTCTTGACAAATTGTGGTCACATCTCTTTGTAGGAAATCGACAATTTGTCTATGCATTTCAGTTGTGTTATCTATTGATTTAAACGACTGAAGGTGTAATACCACCCAATCATAGTACTTCACATCCGGTTTCATACGAAAAAAGGGTCGAAAAAAAATATTCCATTCAATTTGACAGTTGCGGGAAATTAATCTTACATTTTGTTGCAGTAAAACAATTCTGCATCATAAATATATATCTTGGGTATTTCAAAGCACCATTCTTTTTTTATTTGGTGTTTCTATAAGATATTTTTGAAAATTGAGGTTACATGGTTACTAAAGCCTGTAAACAGGAAAAATAAGGGATCAATGTATACTGAATATAAGGCTGTATGTTACATTGCACAGTAAAATTCGTACCGTTTATGTTGTCATACTCGCTATAAGTTGTTCAGAACAACGCAAATAATTAAAAATAGTGAGGATCAATAAAAATATCAGTTTATCACGAGACGTGCTAGTAATTATTATGATTATTAAAATCAGAAGATTGAGGAATAAATGTAAATATTCAAATCTTCAAATAACATTTTTTTTTAATTAAAATCAACAATTCACAGTGCTCGATAAAAAAAAAAACAGCCGTTTTATTGTTTTATTTGTGCTGTTTTAGGAAAGTATTTCACTGCCTTTAGAAATTTATCGTGCGTTTTATATACGCCTGTTAATGAAAAGGCAAGGACCTATGTTATCTACGAGATGTCGATTAAGTTGCTATTGTAATAATTGATCGGAAAAAAATCATTACATTTACGCTGTTGTTTGAAAAATGAGTCAGTTACTCTTTAAAGCGAATCGTGAAGTAAATGAATAATGCTTTATTAAATCAGGAGATTGTGTGATTGCCAATGTGACAGTTATCCACCACAGACAAAATGACATAGATGTTAGCAACTATGGGTCACCGTACGATTTTCAACAATGTGCAAATACCACACCGTATAGCAAGATATAAAAGGGTCCGACCTGACAAATGTTAAACAATTCAAACGAAAACAACGGCTTGATTTATGTACAAAACAACAAACGAAATACCAAATATGATATACGATAATTACTGAATTACAAGCTCTTGACTTTGAACGGGCAAATATAAAATGTAACAAGGTTAAACATTTTTCCGGGCACCCAATCGTCCCCTTAAACAACCGGAACAGTGGTGTAACAACACAACTTAAGAAAACACTATTAAATAGTTGAAAATCCTTGACTTATTAAATCGATACAAAGCACAAAACCAAATAGCAGATGCACTAAAGAGACAAAGTACCAATCTGACAGTATTCGCAGTTACAGGAAGCTTGTTCGTGGCCATTAACAAATCAAACAAAATGATGTATTTTAGACAAGAAATCAATCAGTTCACATGAAATCGATTAAGGGGTAAAGATGTCTAGGAATACAAGGACTTGTGCAATGCCAAAGGCTTACTATTGATAGGATGTAGAACTGTAATTGTTAATAACTGCATATCAATATCTAGCTTATTTTCACTAAGCTTGCTCATGTGAAACAAAGGAACAAGTAAAATAAATTTTTAATAGTTAGTTAACATATGAATGCCAACTGCCTCTTGGAAAACACTTCCACTTAACGTCATAAATATGATGTCAATCAAAAGAAGTCATCAACTTTATGGTCCCTGTTTTAGAATTTATTTTGTTTGCTTTGATTTTTCAAATAGCAGAATTTGTACTTCCAAAATCAAAATAGTTTTACCTACTTAGAAAAAAAATAATTCTTTATAATTTTCTTTTCGACCCATAAGAAGTCTCACTTCCTTAGTAAAAACTTCGATTCGGGACGGCCATTTAATTTTTGGAAATGAATAAGCTGTCCTGGACAGTACTGAAACAAATCTTGCCTCTTCAATGCAATGAAAACAAATATTCTATCCCTCATAATACTGGATATGATAAAGAACAAAATGGAAAATAAAAATGAAAAAATATGAAAAGGATAATGGCTTACTTGTGGTGTCACTTGCAGTTGTCGTTGGTGCTCCCTCCAGTATATAACTTATACGAAAACCTTCCCTGCCAACTGTGTCGTCAGTTTGAAAAAGAACATACATATAGCCGTATGTGCTCTGCACTGTGAACGGGACTGTGTCATAAATTCCACAGCAAGTCTCTTTAAGTAGAGTTGCGCTTGCATTTGTACCTGTAAAATGGAACTTAGCACAGGAAATAACAAGCTCATTATCTCAGCAGCTGTTAGTTCTCGCTACGGTACTCGCAATGTATCACAACATTAGTGTTTAATCAGAAATTGGAGCGTATCTTATCAAAACATCGGATTGTAATCAGATTGAGGAAGATCAGTGACGAGAATTGATGAACAGGATGACTTAAGCTACTAATGTTCAAAACAATTTGATGAAATAAGAGTCTTATTATCGAGAAAGTAGTTTTTGTGAATAATTAGAGGCATGAGTAGTTTACCGATGTTCCAAATGGATCACCAAGCTTTTTAATGTTTTGAAGTAGTATCTTACATACAATCCCAAGATTCGTAATTATTTGATACATAACATACTCATTTCAAAAATTTAATTTTCATCAATTATGTTCCAACCAAAATAATTCTATGCACAGGAAAGAAAACGAAATATAAGCTTTGTTTCAAAGCAGTTTAAAATTGATACATGTAAACTGTTAAAATTTGCTATTGAAACATGTTTAAATTTTAAAAACAAATAATGACATCATTCCGGGCTATACATTTTACTTATAATTCTTCATGCTTTTTTTCTTTTGTTTTGGCAATAAAAGCAACACAGTACACATAAATGGTTGTAATAGAACAAATTATTACAAAAATGTATTATCGTAAAATAGCGGATTTTTCTATTCAATGCTGAGAAAAAATTATATTTTCTTTAAAACAGATGTCTTTTTGAATTTTGAAGATGTTTTTTTTTTTTTACTCTTCGGTAAATGTGTCTCGCGGTCCTTGAAGTAACTTTTACTGACAAACTCTATAGTTTTGCCTGAAAGAACATACTAACTCTCGGTTTTCAAATGGTTTGTTTTCCTTAATTTACCTTATTTTAACTTTTTACAACATTTTGAAACTTTTCTGTGAAGAAAAACTTTATATAAAACATGTAAAAGTTAGTGTTGAACTTAATTCATCTTCAGTCTAAAAGTTATGTTAGGCTCATAATATTTCGTGTAAAGTGTTTACAGTCCTTGGATGGTGTAAACTTCCCGTTTACACCATACACCATTACACCATTTACCATACACCATTATCCCATACACCTTGTGCCATTACACCATACACGTTACACCTTTGCACCATACACCTTACACATTACACCATACACCCTTCCCCATTCTATCTACACGATCCGAAATTACCCATAATGCAATTAAATTTCAAAGAAAGCGTGCGACTACAAAATTATTAATTTGTTTTAAAAAACGAATTTTGATCACAATATTGTAAATTAATGTATAAAATTAAAACCTCCGTGGTCATGCCAATGATGGTTATAAAACAATACAAATTAAATATATATACATGTATATGTAAATAAAGTACGCATAAAACTTTGCTTGTAATGCAAACTTTATCTGAGATCTGCCCATCTATAAATTCAAAACGAAATTGATTACAATGCTATTATTATCGGTTTTAAAATGTAGCGTAAATCTTATAAACTTGGTTTTCAGATAAAATCGACAAACAATGCCAAAAACGAATAGTAGTTAGATCATATAAAATAATCATGATAAATGAAAGCAATATTGGTGTACAGTTTATCATATGTAGATATAGGAAGATGTGGTATGAGTGCCAATGAGACAACCCTCCATCCAAGTTACAATTTATAAAAGTAAACCATTATAGGTCAAGGTACGGCCTTCAACACGGAGTATTGGCTCACACCGAACAGCAAGCTATAAAGGGCCCCAAAAAATTACTAGTGTAAAACCATTCAAACGGAAAAACCAACGGTCTAATCTATATAAAAACGAGAAACGAGAAACACGTATGAACTACATAAACAGACGACAACTACTGTAATCAGATTCCTGACTTAGGACAGGTGCAAACATTTGCAGCGGGATTAAACGTTTTAATGGTACCAAACCTTCTCCCTTTTCTGAAACAATAGTTTAACATCACAACATAGAAAAACATACTATAACATATCAATTGGAAGGCTTAACGCAATCAAAAAACGTAAATTAACACACAATGAACGAATAAATTTGACCTGTGACACCTGAATGCATATACACAGTTAATAAAAAATTACAAGGGATAAATACTTAAAGTCAAAAGTAAATAAACAGGTTTAAACAAAGTTAAAGTATGATATCACTGTGAAATTTCAAACAATTTTTACAAAATCATCACTTTTGAAGAAACCTGCGTCATATTATACACAGGTAAATGAAAATAATTTTGTAATATATATCTCTCAGTTCAGGCTGACTGGTACATGTACAACAAAATTATTTTAACGCATCAAACAAAACTGACCATACTTGCACTTAATTATAAAATTGAGAATGGAAATGGGTAATGTGTCAATCTGTTAATTTATATAGGGTTAAAAAATTTGGAAATATTTTTGTCCTCTTTTTATTAAAAATATTGTCTCGCAACAAAATTTCAGTACTTTTGATACCTCAGGCTGACTCATATAACAAAATTATTTAACGCATCAACCAAAACTGACCATATTTTCACTTTATTATGTAAATCTATATATAGTCGCATAGTAAATCAGCAATAGTTTGACGTCAGGATGGATTGTATAATACAAATGACAGCAACTTTGCAATACAACATGAACAATGACAACAAAAATTTGTCCCCATCAATCTAGATTGCCAGCATGTCCTCTTTTTATTCAAAATATTGTCTCGCAACAAAATTTCAGTAGTTTTGAAACCTAAGGCTGACTAGTATACCAAATTGTTTTAAGGCATCAACTAAAAATGACCTTTTTTGCACTTTATTATGTATATCTATATAGCCACACCTAAATCAGCAATATCTTGATGTCAGGATGGATTGTATAATACAAATGACAGCAACAGTGCAATACAATGACAACAAAAATTTGTCCCAATCAATCTAGATAGCCATTATATCTTCTTTTTATTCAAAATATTGTCTCGCAAGAAAATTTCAGATGTTTTGATACCTCAGGCTGATTCATATAACAAAATGATTTTAAAGCATCAACCAAAACTGACAATATTTGCACTTTATTATGTAAATCTATATAGCCGCATAGTTAATCAGCAATATTTTGATGTCAAGATGGATTGTATAATACAAATGACAGCAACATTGCAATACAATGACAACAAAAATTTGTCCCCATCAATCAAGATAGCCAGCATGTCCTCTTTTTATTCAAAATATTGTCCTGCAAGAAAATTTCAGTAATGTTCATACCTCAGGCTGACTAGTATAACAAAATTATTTTAACGCATCAACAAAAAATGACCATTTTTGCACTTGATTATGTATATCTATAAAGCCACATAGTAAATCAGCAATATCCTGATGTCAGGATGGATTGTATAATACAAATGACAGCAACATTGCAATACAATGACAACAAAAATTTGTCCCCATCAATCAAGATAGCCAGCATGTCCTCTTTTTATTCAAAATATTGTCCTGCAAGAAAATTTCAGTAATGTTCATACCTCAGGCTGACTAGTATAACAAAATTATTTTAACGCATCAACAAAAAATGACCATTTTTGCACTTTATTATATATCTATATAGCCACATAGTAAATCAGCAATAGTTTGATGTCAGGATGGATTGTATAATACAAATGACAGCAACTTTGCAAAACAACATGTACAATGACAATCAATCAAGATTGCCAGCATGTCCTCTTTTTATTCAAAATATTGTCTCGCAACAAATTTTCAGTAGTTTTGAAACCTAAGGCTGACTAGTATACCAAATTGTTTTAACGCATCAACAAAAAATTACCTTTTTTGCACTTTATTATGTATATCTATATAGCCACACCTAAATCAGCAATATCTTGATGTCAGGATGGATTGTATAATACAAATGACAGCAACAGTGCAATACAATGACAACAAAAATTTGTCCCAATCAATCTAGATAGCCATTATATCCTCTTTTTATTCAAAATATTGTCTCGCAAGAAAATTTCAGATGTTTTGATACCTCAGGCTGACTTGTATAACAAAATGATTTTAAAGTATCAACCAAAACTGACCATATTTGCACTTTATTATGTAAATCTATATAGCGGCATAGTAAATCAGCAATATTTTGATGTCAGGATGGATTGTATAATACAAATGACAGCAACATTGCAATACAATGACAACAAAAATTTGTCCCCATCAATCAAGATAGCCAGCATGTCCTCTTTTTATTCAGAATATTGTCTCACAAGAAAATTTCAGTAGTTTTGATACCTCAGGCTGACTTGTATAACAAAATTATTTTAAAGCATCAAACAAAACTGACCATATTTTCACTTTTAATATTATGTATATTTATATAGCCACATAGTAAATCAGCTATATTTTATTGTCAGAATGGATGGTATAATACAAATGACAGCATCATTGCGACACAATGACAACAGAAATTATCCCCATCAATCTAGATTGCCAGCATGTCCTCTTCTTATTCAAAATATTGTCTCACAAGAAAATTTCAGTAGTTTTGATACCTCCAGCTGACTTGTATAACAAAATTATTTTAAAGCATCAACTGAACCTGACCATATTTTCACTTTTAATATTATGTATATACATGTATATAAAGCCACATAGTAAATCAGCAATATCTTGATGTCAGGATGAATTGTATAATACAAATGACAGCAACAGTGCAATACAATGACAACAGAAATTATCCCCATCAATCGAGATTGCCAGCATGTCTTCTTCTTATTCAAAATATTGTCTCGCAAGAAAATTTTAGTTGTTTTGATACCTCAGGCTGACAGTATAAATAGTATAACAAAATGATTTTAAAGCATCAACTAAAACTGACCATATTTGCACTTTTTTATGTAAATCTATATAGCGGCATAGTAAATCAGCAATATTTTGATGTCAGGATGGATTGTATAATACAAATGACAGCAACATTGCAATACAATGAAAACAAAAATTTGTCCCCATCAATCTAGATAGCTAGCATGTCCTCTGTTTTTTTCAAAATTTAGTCTCGCAACAAAATTTCAAGAATTTAAATACCTTAGGCTGGCTTGTATAACAAAATTATTCAACAGAATCAAACAAAACTGAACATATTTGCACTTTATTATGTAAATATATATAGCCGCATTATAATGCAATAATATTTAGATGTTAGGATGGCTTATATTTAAATACATACTGACATATGACAGAAATATTGGACAACAATGACTACAAAATCTTGTCCGCTATATTTTAGAGTGTCAGCATTTCATCTCCCTATTCGTAATATAAAACTGTCACTAAAGTCAGTATCAGTACCTATATTTCCCAAAGATGGGTACGTCACAGATTCTTTTTGGGCTATTGTGTGATGGGTTGGTCTGCGCATAAATTAGTCGTGCTTGCTGAGGTGTGATGATTTAAACTCAGTAGTTCAGGATGGTTTGTATAATATAACTATTCCACCACATCATCCAACACTGTGACTGACATGACAGATTTCATTTGTACTTTATTATAATGAAAAGTATGAGAAGTTCAGAAAAAGTATACTGTTAGTTTATCATGTCGATTGGTTGATTTTGTTGGTGGCTAAATATCAAGTGGCAAATATTTCATTCCTGTTCACCGGACGTTCAAGATATCATTTATAATCCGTAAAGACAAATCTAACGAAATAGACGAGATTGTTCATAATTATACAACACCTTATGTGCAGTAACACTGTATAATTTTCCTTTGAGCGTTTTGTGGAACACAGAATCGTAAATCCAAGACAAACAAAGGTGAATTACGATGAAATATTTATAAAGAGACTGTCAAAAATGGGGAACGAAGCAACGTTAAAAATAATGTTGATAACCCATGATATAAAAATATTGTTCCGATGCGTGGATAACCTTTCTATCCGCCTTCTAGTTAAAAAAAAACTTTCTTTTATGATAACTGCATGTGATCACATGTGTGTAAGTTTATAGCCATTGTTTAATGTAAATAAGAATATGAAAAAAAAAAAAAAATTTGATATGTGTATAATATCTATAACATAGTGTCTAACGAGTAAAGAAATTTGCTTTACTGGGAAAAAAGAACAAAATAAGATTATATTATTATTGTTTATGTTTACAATCCGACAAAATAAAATAAAATGAACTTCGGTTTCAACCAATGAAATGTCGTACACCATTCATTCATACCATTCCCGATCGCACGTTACACAATCACACCATTCCTCATACACCATTACACCATTCCCCTTACACCATACACCATAGCACCACACACCTTCTACCATTGCACCATATACCATACACCACTACACCATACACGTTTTTTTTTTGGGAAGTTTACACCATCCAAGGGCTGTACCTAGATATGTTTTGGTATTATTTTTTTGTGTCTGTTTAAAACATTTGAAAGTTGTTCATCTCGGGATAATGTTTGTAAAGTTTATTTGCGGTTGACCCTTACTGTCCATTTCTTAATGCAAGTCAAGATTGAAGGTCAATAATAATAGAACGTAAAATGTTAACGCATTTTAAAAATATTTGACAGATAATCCTTATTGAAATTAAAGATAACAATGAAAAAAGTCATGGGTATAAAATATTAAAAATTACATTCAATACTTCAATCATTAAAGATTATTTTATCAATTGTTTTGCCAGTCAGACATTAAATATAAATTAATAACTAGTATGTTGTCGTTGCCAAGTCAAATTCCCGCAAATTAATCGGATTCCACTTAGTTGTTATGTCTAGTTAACCTGTCTGATAGATTTATCCACATAAGTTGACAAAATGATAATCCACCCCTTTTTGTGTCGTCTATCGATTAAACATACATCCTTCATAATGAAATTTAAAACAAAAACAATTTTTTTATCTAAAGAATAGTAATGACTTATTTTTACATTAGGTTGAATATTAGTTGAAGAACCATTAATGGAAGTTGGTGTAACATTAAACGTATCGTTTTGAAATGTGCTATTCATTCTTCTTAAAATGGGGGTATTCATTATTCATTATCCATAAGGTATTTCACTTGCTCTGACTTCTGTAGACCCAAATTGAAAATATTTAACATTATTAGAAATAAATGTGTGACATAAGAGATGCTTCTTTTCTATAATTTTGTTCCTTATAGAATTTGATAGGAAATACACACAAAAAATTCACTAAGTAAAAATAATCTATTACATACCATCATAAACAAATACGTTATCCCCTATACAAACTCCTTTATTATTTCCCGTCTCCAAGGCACATTCGATGAATTCTATTGTGATATTGTAATTCGGAATTTGGCTTATAATTAACCAGTCGCGAGAATACTTTCTGAAACGAAATAAGAAAACGAAGCATTTACATGAAACTCAGAAGGATAGATGTTCTTCCTTACCCAATTCTGTCTGACACTAATCCTTCGGAATTTTGCTCTCCTTTGCAATGTTTGATATATACAGTTCTTGGAACAACAAAAGGCATTTTTCAGTGCCATTTTTTTTCCTCGAAAAGCTTTATTTTTATGTTTATATATACGTGTGTGCATAACCAACATCTAAAATATATTGATACTTTTTTTTTAATTTGGATCAGCAAATTTGAGCTAGAGCATTACACTAAAGATGTTTAGCTTATAATCATACTTCTGCTATGCCAGTCTATGGAAAGTGCTAATCGGAAAATCCATTTCTTATGTGAAGTAGCGATATTTTCTATTGTAAATGAGATGCATTGTGGGGAATTCTCAGACGCATGTTATCATTTCTTGGAATAAAACAAAATATCATAAAGGACTTGCTTTTTCTTTTTAAAACATACACGCATTTAACAGGACAAATTATATACAACTTGCTATGTATTTGGAGAATTTTAATCCCAAGTATGTTGTATTAATACGAGTAATAATGCATTTGCATAAAAAAAAAAACCTATTTGCACGATCTATAATTTCGAGGTGTGCAAATACTTTGACAATGATGTACCAAAGACAGTGGAATGGCCATTGAGCTTATCCTATTGCATTCCTCGCCACGATCATTTGTAATAGGATAATAATGCTATTTTTTTCTTATATGAATACAAAGTTTTTCTAATATAACAGCTATATATGTTATTATGAAAAACTTTTCCACTGCGGTATTTTTCTTATAGAAATGCGATACTTTTTTTCATTTGAAAAAATACGATAATATGGCATCAAACATTAAAACAGAGTAGCAACATCGACAATTATTTATGACAGGTTAGATGTTGCAGGCAAAATATCACCAAAATTTTTACGTACATAATAAACCAATTTATACTCTTATAAAGAAGTAGACACGATGTTCAATATCACTTGCGTGTCGATCAATTTTGTGTTTACAAATCAATATTCATAGTATACACCACCTTTCAACTTTCGCTGAAAAACAATATCTGGCTATAATGTCGGTCTAGAATGATAAAGTGTTGACACAGATATATGTTTCATCTGTCGTGTCTATATGTAATTTTAATATTTAAATGCAGTTGTTGGAATTAATGGGAAAATACTTTATCATACATTGTTTACATTGGCACAAATGATCGATTTTGATCATCAAAAAATTAAAACATAACTATATTTGTATTCTTTTCGAATATTTTTTTTGGGGGTGGGCGGGAGGTGAGGTGGATGTATTTATACACATTCAAGTGTATTTTCTATATAGAGATTGCTTATCTATATATAACATGAAACATATTCATTTTAAGGTTAAATCCTAACTATCCTACTGCCTGTCGATACTTTTATTTTGTCGTTTTTACAAGTCATGTCTTCTTTGAATGTCCATGGCGTTAAAATACTAAATCCCCGGGTTTTTTTTATTTGATTTTAGTCTTTGATGCATGATTTTTTATTATTAATTGTTTTAGGTTTTTAACTAGCTTTCAGTAACTGCTAGTAATCTCAAATCTTACTTTCGTGTTATTTTGACCTGTTGACACAACTTGTAATGCTTTTTTGTTATTTAATGTTTACTAATTTAGTGTTATATCTCGTCTCACTATTTTAATATGTAACGCCTTTGATAAGTATTGAGTATGACGATAAATTTTCACTTCTGTACTCGTAATGTAAACAACAAATCTATTTATTTTGTAAAATATCAAAAAATATTTCCGTACTTTTTACAACAGAATTATTATATTTGAAACTTCTATTTTTCTGTGTACGTAATTTTATTTCACGCCATATTGTCCAAGGTTAGAGTTGTCTTTTTGCCATTGTTTTAAATCTTGTTTATTAATATTGTATTTATATTGTGTCATAGATCAAATTTATTCGTTCAGTGTATGTTTACTTGTTTTTGTCTTTATGTCTTTTTGATCGAGTTAAGCCATTTAAATTGATATTTTATAGTGTGTCTTATTATGTTGTAATGTAACACTACTGTTTCAGGTTAGGGAGAAGGTTGGTGCCTGTTAGAATGATTAAGCCCGATGCATTTGTATGCACCTGTTCTAAGTCAGGAGCCTGTTCAGTGGTTGTCGTTTGATGAGGTGGTTCATCAGTGTTTCTCGTTTCTCATTTTTTATATAGATTAGACCTTTGGTTTTCCAGTTTGAATTGTTTTACACTAGTCATGTTTGGGGCCTTTTATAGCTTGCGGTTCGGTGAGCCAAGGCTTCGTGATGAAGGCCGTACTTTGGCCTATAAATGTTAACGTTTTACACATTGTCACTTGGATGGAGAGTTGTCTCATTGGCACTTATACATACCACATCTTCGTATTTCTATTTATTATACAAATCATTCAAAGTCAATGAAACATGAATGAGGTTGCAAGGCCAAATAATCTCCATGGAAATGATAATGAATATGATAATGCTATTACAACTGCATACCATATATCGTTGACCTATTGTCAACGGTTCTCCTTAAACTGACATAAAAACTCTAACTGTAAAAAGTAAAATAACAAAAATACCGAACTCCAAGGAAAATTCAAATCGGAAAGTCCCTTATCAAATGGCAAAATTAAAAGCTCAACACATCAAGCAAATGGAAAACAACTGTCATATTCCTGACTTTGTAAGCAATGCAAAAACTTTTACAGTCAATGAATTATCGTTCAGGGGTGAGACCTTATTATCTCCATAAAAATATGTCAATGCTAATACACATGCATACCAAATATTCTTTGACTTATCGTTAGAGATCCCCATTTAAAAAAAACTTACCTTATCACAAATTACAAAAAAATGTTGACGCCGCCGACGCAACCGAAAACAGCACGACTCCTTTGCTTCGTAGAGGCGAGACAAAAGGTATTTTATACTAACATTTTTTCCCCTCTTATGTCTGGAAAATCTATCTTTGATGTAATGTTATTGCAATTTTATTGAATAATGCATGAAGATTAAAAAGGCCAAGAACTGCATTCGATAGGTTAAAATGTGGAAAATGAGAACACACTTTTTAGTTGTGAACTAGGAATCGTTTTTCTTTTTTATTACTTAAAGTAAGTTTCATTATCAATGATCATCTATTTGACATGTCTGAAAATTCGTGTTTAGAATTATGATATTATCTAAACACATTTCTAAGCAAACACATTAAATGCACCCATGTCTTGAATATAAACCCTTTAAAATGTGTTTTAAAATTAAAAGTTGTTAGGACTTAAACACTAATTTCTGAGCTAAACATGATCCTAAAGACAATCATAATCACTTTCTTCAATGTTACGAAATTAAACATGTTATAAAAAGTGCGCAAACAATGAATATGTATTTAGAATTGTGTTAAGGATTTAAACACCATTAATACAGTTTACATGTAGTAAGGATATAGGAAATGAATTTTTGCCATATTATCTTATCTAATACAAATATGTTTGAAGAACAATTAAGAATTTCGAAAGATGTCTCAAAAGTTCGTTTTGACAGTACTCAATGGGCTAAGACTGCTATCTCATATAACACGAAACGTATAGTTACAATAACAACATACCACAACTACATTAAATAAAATATTGCACACTCTATTGATTAATGGTAATACATATCACTCTTCTGTGTGTCGCATGAATTAATTTCGGACTGAACGTATTCATATTTTAGAATTAAACTTTTTTTTTATTGCAAAACAACATCTTTTTCCTTATGGAGTGTCTGCATATTTACAATTTCATATTAGAAAATATAAAAAAATAAGAAGACTCCACATAAGAAACGTTTTTTCTCGATTCGCAATTTCCATAGACTATGTCCTTGTAATTGCATGATATAATAGATAATTCCGTATTATCAAACCATGGAAGCACAAATATTTGAACATTACAATACTATTGAATATATGTCATATGTCAATTAATCAAATCAAGTTCTCGAATATAATATATTTATTACGTATGTAAAGTAATATCTACCATATTGTATTGAAACATAATATTAATGTTCTGATGATATGAATTCAATATAACATTTAGGAACTTTTCGTTTTAAGATGTTTCATCAGTAATTCATACTGACGAGTTTACGTACCATTCAATAATTTGAACACGTCATTAATCATCCTTATGAATGCTTTTGGTGACGATGTTAATGACAAATGCTAAATGTGAAATGACAATCAGTAAACTGATATGCATGCCAAATTATTCACCCTTTCTGTTCGCATTCCATTACCAATCATCATTTCTTTAACGTCTAGCACAATCCTTCTCAATCAATAAACTCATTTTGACCAGTAATTCCAGTTTGTTGATAGAAGATGTGGTATGAGTGCCAATGAGACAACTCTCCATCCAAGTCACAATTAGTAAAAAGTAAACCATTATAAGTCAAAGTACGACCTTCAATGCGGAGCCTTGGCTTACACCGAACAGCAAGCTATAAAGGGCCCCAAAAATGAATAGTGTAAAACCATTTAAACAGGAAAACCAACGGTCTAATCTATATGCAAAACGAGAAACGAGAAACACTGATGAACCACATCAACAAACAACAACCACTGAACAACAAGTTTCTGACTTAGGACAGGTGTAAACAAGTGCAGAGGGTTTAACGTTTTAACACGCGCCAACCTTCACCCTAACCTGAAGTAGTGGTGTAACATAACAATATAGAAAGACACATTATAAAATATCAATTGAAAAGGCTTAACTCAATCAAAAACACATATTAACAAAAACAAGTAAACATACACTGAGCGAATAAATTTGATCTATGGCACAATATAAATACAATATGCATAAAAAAAAAGGGGGGATGTAAAACAAAGTCAGAGAGACAACTATAACCTTGGACAAATTGGCATTAAATAAAATAACGTAGACAGGTAAATAAAATAAATTTGTAGTAAG